GTTAATCAGTTCCTTCACGCGTCACACAGGCAGCATCTTGATTCAAGAAGTTGTGTTAATTGCTGTGTTTTGAATAACGTAGTTGTAGCAAATCAGACATACTAGAACTGAAAGCAAAAACCAGCCTCCTGTTTAAAACACATTATCCATACTTTATATAAAGGCCTCTTTGCTAACCTAAACACGGCCCAAATACTACTCCAGTCTGTCCAGCCTAATTGTTATGCTGTTGTCACACTTGTCACAGCGAGGTCTGATTATTTCCCAGATTGCTTTCAAATACATTATGAATTTCTCCATCTTCATGTACCCTAGTTACAAAGTAATTAGAAAAACTTTGTTTAGGGAAACAAGATATAATAATTGAGGGAGGGAGAAGGAACATAAGTTACATTTTAACTTTTTTCATATCGGTTCATTAGTGCTGCCCTTTATATGACTATAAAGATTTAATGTAAAGAAATTTCCATTTCTTTACAACTGAATGGAAATGAGTCAGTCTTTTCTACCTGCTTCAGTTTGGCTAGTATTTCATGAATAAGGGTTAAACTAAAAAGAGTAAGAGATACCAAGTAACATATCCTCCATATCTGCGAAGTTAAGCAGGCTGAATATACTGCTGCCCAAGCTCACTCTTCCAGCTAGAGACCAACAAGTCTTGCCCACCTTCTCTTGAATGAGTCCTGATGCCTATGAGCAAGGATAATATGATTAGGATGACCTTCTCTTCTTCCTGTACCCCGACAGCCATACAGAAGTCACCTAGTTTAGCAATAGTACAGAGGAGCTACTGTTAAGCCCTGTGGCCCCGAGTTTGTTTCACTGCCACGCTGTATCATAGTAAGACTCCAGACTGAGACTGGTGCCCACATCTCCCTAGCTTATGCTAATTTATGCAAACACATTTAGTTCTGATGGCTGTCAAGCAACTTCTGCACTATGATGTACTGCTTAGGGAGTGGAACCAGTAAGTTTAGAAGGACATTTCAATGGAATTAAATGAAGGTTTATTTTGTGCTTTCTCTGCATCCATGATGGCACACTAATGACGATGTCTAAAAGCTTGAGAGGTCACAGTGATTTGTGGGGCGGAAGAGGAAGACTGCAATACGTGATTCCTGTGATCCCACCCAAAATCCAGACAGATTTAATCTATATATTTGAACATAGCATAAAGTGGTAAATTGGGGCTCTCTACAACCCACAGCAGTCCTGGGGTCCTCACAATGCTTTATGAGACTGTAACCTGTAGATGGTTGAATATTTAACCAGATATTCAAGGTGAGGCTCGATGAGGCCCTGGGCAACCTGGTCTGGTTGGGGGTGTCCCTGCTGACTGTGGGGAGGTTGGACTAGATGACCTTTGGAGGTCCCTTCCAGCCTGGACAATTCTATGGCTATTTGGCTTTGCACTGTCTCTCTTTTCCCACTGGTGCATCAAGAGAAACCAACTAGTTTCCAGTGACTCCAGAGAATTTCCAAACCTTCCTAGTGACCCCATGCTGAAACCCTGCTTAGAGAAAGGAGAACTTTATCATGTATATATAGTTTATCTGATTTTCTGGAAGTCTTTTGTGTTTAGGAATTTTCCCAGGAGTGGAGAGGATTTTTAAAACTAGTGTGTCAGTGAAATTTTTCTATCAATGGGATCAATATAGCTAGGGACAATCAGGGTGCTGTATCTGTGGGTCACAGCACAGCTTCAGAGGTTCAGGGGAACCTCAGTGAAAAAGAATTTGGACTTGACATCTATCCACTGACTAAATATAACCTTCTGGTAAACATTAAATCTTCAAGGGCTTTGTGGCTGATGATCATGTTGAACTCCAGGACATTCAGTAAGAGAGTAGGGTGGAAAACATAAACATGAAAAGAAACACAGGGGGAGGGGAAGGGTTTGAAAGCTGGTGGAGAGAACGGCAAAGATTGTGGTGACTAATGTTTTCTGCGCGGTTCAAAGGTTTGTCGATTTAATAAAGATGAAGCATTCATGCGGCTGAGATAGTGTTTAGTACACTAGCAGTTAAGCTAAAAGCTATGGATTGCTCTAGCACATTGTGTTCTAATAGAGAACTTTGTTCTAAACACTGTACTCGGAGCAAGGGCCTAAGGAGAAATAGCAGATGCTTTTTCCTTGGCTGTTCCATCTTGTTTCTTTTGCTTTAAGTAGGATAATTAGCATCCTCTGCACTATGGTTTTTGCTTTGGACATTTGAGCACTGAAATCTAGCTGTAACTATCAGAAGGACTTCACATGGGGCACCAAACAGCTGGAAAATAGTCCCAGCTTTCAGTCCCTACCAATGCAGGCCAGATTTGACCCATTAGTACTTCGAAGGCTCTGTATCTCTTTGCCACATCGTAAGCGCAACAATCTATTCTATCCTTCCTCCAAGGATGATGAACAGAACATTTAGTTTCTGAGCACAGTAGCAGACAAGGACAAGCAAGGTCCTAAAGCACGTCATAAACTGCACTATTCAAATATCTCTAGAACTATTATCTTTTAGCATGCAGTACTGTTCTTAGCCTTCAGTTCACCCCTAAATACCTGCTCATCTAGTCATATGGCACATAGAAGAAGTTCCACTCCATAGCAGAAGTTTTTGATTGTTTCTTAGTAAACAGGTTTGGGAGTTACTGGGGTAGATGTTTAAAGCACCTTGCATCTGTGCTTGGGGTACTTTCTCCACTGCTTGGTGAGGTGGATAGCCATCACCCTATCCATTTGACACAGGCAGACTGATGTGTACATGTTACGTGACTTGTTCGGGACCACTGGAAAACAGAGGAGATGCAAAATCCTTGTTCTAAATCAGTAAAACCCATTATATGTTTTGTAAAAACAAACATTTGCCAGTCCTGGAAGTCATATCTTGTTCTGCTAGGTTAACTCCTACTGTCATATAAACTTTTTTCAAGCCTGTCACAATTTCTCTTCAAGAAATAAAAAAAATAAATCAGACACCTTAGAAAACGTTCTGCAAGAAGAGTAAGAGACATTGTAAGACTGTTTAAAACTCAATCCAAACAGAGACAGACCTGTTGCCAGTGAGGAGGGAAACTTGGCAGCTTTGTTTAAAGCTTCCCACACAGACACTGGAGACACAAGAAAACAAAGAAGCTGTAGTCCCCGAGGGTCCTGCCACTCCCAGGGCAAAACCAGTCCCTTTCCCTGCTTTTCCTCCAGCTCTCACAGACACGCACACACTCTCTTCTCTCAGTGCCATCAGCTACAGCAATAACCAATTACACCCTACAGAACTGGAAAAAATACAGGAAATAAAGAGTTAAAAAAAAGGAAAAGAAAAAACCCAGAGAACTTGGAGGCCAGCCAGCGTCCCCGAATGACTCTGCTCAGCCGGCAGCCCTAAGCGACACTCCCCACCGGCCCTGCCCTCCCTCTCCTCTCCCCGCAAGGCGGGCAGTGCCCAGCCCTCCTCTCTTCAGCAGGGACAGGAGTTCCCCTTCTTGGTCTCTAGTCGGGTTTGGGAGCCCAGAAACATTGCTAAATTTATCTTTTGCTTTTGGGACAATGGCAAATGCCAGAAACATGAAAGCAAAAGAACTGAAAATTAATGGAGACGATTCCCTGCAAGCCAAGTGGAAGCACCTTTCCTGCATAACTCCCAAGGAGGCAAAAAGCAGTTACACAGTGCAAAGCAGGGCAGGCTGCCCGGGGTGCCAGGAACACGCTGTTCCTTTAGCTGTGCGGCTGCACAGGGAATTGTCCATCCATATGCTCAAACCTGATGGGGCTTTCTTCTCTCCCAAGGAGAGCAAACCATACGCTCAATTTAGAAGAGTTCTTGCTTTACCTCAGGAAGGCAGCAGGAAAAGCCAAAGGCACACTGAAGAGGTATGGCCTGTGTAGGTGAAGCTGCAACCTCTGAGCTAAAAATGTACAGTAGTCATTTCGTGATGTTTAATTCTCAGGATCTTTTTCTTAATGGTCTTTGTAAGTCAACTGACCATAGATCTCAGTAAACTGATCTGTTGCCTGAAATTACTTGGTGGAACAGCTTGCACAAGCCTGCTCCAGTTGATGGGATGCCTCTGCGTATGTGCTACGATCACTGCCTTCAGCAGAGATCAGTCTCCTCAATTTTTCATGCTCCCTGTGTGACTGGAAGCCATCGTGTTCCCCAGCACCAGGCAGAGCCATGAGGTCTGGCAAGTCATGGGGCCTGCTTCCAGATGGGCTTCCTAATACCTTCAGTGCGTAACTTTCACAGGGCTTGCAAGACTTCCACTTTTTCTATGTGGGTGTCTCATAAATCGCAATAGCAACAAAAACGTGGTCAGTTAAGTCTTCACCAAGAAGTAAATTCTGTACACTGATCAGAACAAGTTAGTGTTTGCATTCAAATGTTTTTTTGCTTTGAAAATGGTTTTACCCAGCTGCCAAAAGTTTAAGACTGCCCGTGTCCCCCTCTCTCTTTACGCTTATGATAAATGTCTCCTTGTGACTCATGTTCAGGCTCCCAACTGCCTTCCTGCCTACTCTAGCTTTCACACAAGTGTCTGCTAAAGAAAGAAACAGACACACAGTCATTCAGGTGCCTCTAGAACATTTAATTTTAAAACATCCAGAGTATTGACGCTCGCATGGGAAGTGGTAAGCTGGTAAAAAGGTAGTGACAGGAGCATGTAGGAAAAAGTAGATGGGGGAGGGTAAGAAGCATTGGAAAAGGAAGTAAAAGACACACTGAACAAGAAGGCTAGCAGCTAAAAATTACAGCTTGGTACAGTCCACACAGATGACCATTCCCTGGGACATTAAGTAATGAAAAAAGGCAATATTAGCTTTGAATGCATGCCCAGTAAGGGTTTAGTCCCAGAGGGTTGGGGTTTTTTTGTTGTTGTTTGGTTTTCCCAAGCTTGAGTTCTGAGAGGTGAAACCATAATGGTGGCCAAATACAAGTTTGAGTTTGATTTTTCAACATTTATTTTAATTACCAAGCTGTAACAAATAAATCTCTGGCTGTATTGTAACTAACCTGTGTGGGTCCTTAGATGAGCTTTAAGATGGGAAGATTTGCCATAAACTTTTTCACACCCCACATAGTGGCATTTGTGCTTTTTCTGGGGTGATCCAGGGTCAGTCCAGCTTCTCATGCGTTTGTTCTTTTGTCTGGGGCTTGGCTCAGTTACTGCAGCCAGGCTAGTAGGTGTGGCTGCTCTTCCTCCTCCACGCTTACCAGCCGAAGACACACTTTCTTCCCCAAACTCCTCAGGAGCAATAGACATGTGTATCTGTTCTGTGACACCAAAGGTCTCAGTTTTTTCCATCCTTAGAGCAGGTGAGTTTGGGACATGCTGGTTCAGATCTGCTAAAATGCTAGCTACCACAAGTAATGATGATCCATTGTCCTTCCCGGGTTCTCTGACTTCCCGCTTATCTTCTCCATTTGATGAAGGAGGTATTGCTGCATCAGGTTGGGGATCAGGCTCTCCTTTGGGACTATGGACAATAGCACGACTGGACATAGAAACAAGGCACTCTGCTGCAAAATGATCCACATATGCTGCCGTTGCCATTTTTCGTAAGTTTCAAAAGAAATCCAAACAGAAGGGAAAAAAATACCCAACCCCACAACACTGCTCTTCCCCTTTTTAAAACGATTATGCGAGCAGACTTTTCCTTCTCATTTCTTAGGATCTCTCTGTAGAAGTAAAGGTCGAATTAGCAGCCATCAAAACCACACTCTGTGCGTGACGATCACACCCAGCTTGTCCCTAAATCGAAAAAGGGCTGGAAGTCCAATGGAAGAGGGAGCAGCGCAGACAGATCCCGGCACTGGCAGCGTGTTGCTCTGGGCCCGAGTTAAGGCTGTTTTTCGTAGGAGGCAGCAGGAGGGAGAGGCGGTGTCCCCGGCCCGTCCATCGCGGGGTGACAGCGGAGTCGCCTCTCCCCGTTACCGCTCCCCGGGGCCGCCGGACCCGCCGGGGGCGGGGCCCGGGAGAACATCTGGGCCTGACGTCACCGCCAGCCCACATCCTGCCGCCCCTCAGGTTGGCGGCGCGCGAGCGGGGCCGTGCCCGCGCGCGCCGCAAATGAAAGGGAGCGGCCGATTGGCTGGCGGGGCGGGTCGCGCGCCAGCGGCACCCTCCGCCCCGCCGCGTCCCGGAGCCACCCCGCGGCGCAGGGTAGGGCCGAAGCGCGCAGGGGCGGCGGGCGCCGACCCCTCCGCCGGGTCCTGGTCCTGCCCGCGGGTGGCGATGCGGGGCGCGCCGTGTTAGAGCTCGTACTGCTAGGGACAACCTAGGGACAGGCGCTGAACTGCTAAAAGGAAGAGATTAAACAAACGTTGTTAAGTCGGAACGGGTGCGAGTGGGAGGAAAGAGCTGGAGACGGACTTTTTACGAGGGCACGTAGCACTAGGACGAGGGGTAACGGCTTCAAACTGGAAGAGGATTTAGGCATCAAGAAGAAATTCTTTACTGTGAGGGTGGTGAGACACTGGCCCAGGTTGCCCAGAGAAGCTGTGGATGCCCCATCCCTGGAGGTGTTTGAGGCCAGGCTGGATGGGGCTTTGAGCAACCTGGTCTAGAAAGAGATGTGGAACCCGGTCTAAAGGGGTGGAACTAGATGATCTTTGAAGGTCCCCTCTAAACCATTCTGTGATTCCATGACTAGCCTGTTTTGTCCACAGCTATACAGATGAAGCTTGTATGCAGGTTTTAATAGCTTGTGATGGGTTTAACTCACTTGAAATCACCTTCCTTTCTGTCAAAACTCTCCTCACTATAGCACTCTGCTGCCTCTAAATTATGTTCAAGTACAGATAAAAATAACTTGCTTTTCATTATTATTCTCAGCCTGCAAAGGACACAGCGCAGCCACTTTTTACACAGATTAATGCCTGAATGAACAAAAGGGTTGTGTGACTAAAGGAAAGAAATGCACCTGAATTCAGATCTGAAGGCAGTCAGTCTGTGGTGCTTCTTATCTTTTGCTGGAATGTGTTTCTCCTGTCTTTACTACAGATGGACCTTTTCTCTGAGACAGAGATGGTCAGAAAGCACGAGGGCTTCTTTGGAAGCCTTTCTTTCTGGATGGAAAGTTTTGGAGTGTGAGGGGGTGTACAAGGAAGTGAACATCTGTTGCAGAAACTCAAAGACTTTTGGGGTTGAGTCAAAAATTGGTTTCATACACGTGAAAATGTCTTATACAGGCGCAATGTCTCCTTATACTACCACTGCACCCTATGAAAAATAGACACGCTTTAGGTTCTTGAGTGTCCCCCTGTGGGTCAGGCTCATTTGTAACCCCTGTCAGCCACAGTGCTCCATGTCTGTCCTCCACAGCACAGCCTGTGGTGCTGCCTGGGGCTTCGGTAGCTCCAGCAAATGCAAGAATAGGGCACACGACCCACATGGGAGGATGTGGTTTAATGCTGAATCAAGCAAGATCATTTTGATACAGGTATATCGTACCATCTGTTCTGCTGAGCATACCTACAGGAAACATTTACACATTTTCAAATAAAAAGGTTGAGTTTGGGACTTACCTATTTGTTCCCAGATGAAAAAGGAATTCTGGGAAAAACATTTTTACAAGACATTTTAGTTGATTTTGAGCTCAACCTCCTCCTTAAACAGACCCTCTAGCAGTTCTTCAGAATTAGCAGCAGAATCAGAGCAGAAACCCTGCAGCTCTCCCAGTTTGAGGAGAAACATGGGCCATTTTCAGGGGAGTGAGGAAAGGGCAGAGGTTAAGCTCAAATTTTCAGTCTTTACCTCAACGTCAAGGACCATTACCAGTAGATGTACAGGAAAGGGGAGACCTGGACTATCCCTGCTGCCAACAGCCAGCGGGCTTTGCCTCAGCATCGACACCCGTGCCCCAACCCTATGCTGCCCCTCAGCACTGCAGTGCCCTCTCTTACCGCCTCTCCTCGACACTCTCTTGCTCTGTGATGTTCCTCCACAGCCTGGCCCAGCTCCATTGTATAGCAGAGGCTTGTCCAGAGGTTCCTGTGGCTTAGAAGGCTGGTGTGGCCTGGCTCCGGGCAGCGGAGAAGTGCTGGCAGAGCCCCACAGCGAGTTCAGCAAGTCCAGGGAATCCCCCCCGCCTGGCCTGAGGAGACAGCCGTCTGGACAGACAGGACCTGTGATTGGCTGCTCTGCCCCCTTCCGGACCTTCCAGGGAACTCCAGCCAATCACAAAAGATCTTACATGCTGTGTGAGCTTCGCCTCAGAGGCGGGCTTTCTGGGCGCCATGTTGGCTTGGAGGGGCCTGTAGCTCCAGGGGGGCTATTGGGCTGATAACCTGCTGTTTTATGTTTTGCTTTTTTCGCGTAAGCAGGTAAAAAAAAAAAAGCTCGTCCCGTTCCAGGGGTCTTTGGCCAGAGGAGAGAGGCACTGCGTCCTGTGCACAGCTGGACATTCTGGCCACAGGCGGGCTGTGAGGAGGTAATGGTTTGCCATGGCTGAAGGCAGGGAGAAGTCCTAACTTTCTTTTTCAACAGATCTGTTCGGTTGAAGCCTTGTCCTGATATAGGAGTGCCTTTCATGTAAAATTAACGGCCATAACCAAGTCCCTGGTGAACTTCGTGGACTCTAGTATTTCTGCAGTTTTGCGGTTGAAAGCTTGTTTCAGTGTCAGTCTGGAGATGTAACACTGGCTGTGCTGCGTGTGGGTAAGGGCAGGCTGCTGAGGCCAGAGGAGCAGGTTTGTTTTGATGAGAACTTGCTCCTTTTTTGGTTGAATGAACCTTTTGGGCATGATGTCTTCATTTGGGAAAGAGCAATGTTGTGACTTGTTATGGAAAGGTTACTTGTAACAGAAAGGCTTTTACTGGGAAAGAAGAGTTAGTCATATTCAGCAAATGTGTGTGTAGCGCACTTAGGGTTTGTGTGTTACTCTCTTTTAAATCAGGACTGTGAATAAAAATATGCCTCTGACTTTCTAATAGCTGATGAGAAGTAAAAAATTGTGTCTTGCACACTGTCGGTATGAAAGAGTCAGTGTCTCTTTGCGTGCATAGGACCAGGGTGTAGCAAGTGTGCTTGTCATCTGGACATGAAAAGTCCAGCTGCCTGGTGGAACCAACTTTGGCTTTTAGTGTAGGATTATGAATATTAAATGCTTCTGTGTGAACTGACAGTAGAAAATATCCTTCCTGCAAGCAGCAGGGATGAAGAGTCTCCTTTGTAAGAAACTTCAGTTGTTACTTCAGAACAGTAGTACAAAAAGATTCCATGGAAAACCACTAGCCAAAATACTGTGCCTATTTATCAACTTTTTCTTGTAATTATAAAATATTTATCTGCCTATTTGTTTGTTTTTATTATTTATTACATATTTATTTTCTCTGAGTAAGTGGAAAAGTGAATTTCTCTAAGTACACAGTAAATCTTAAATTCACCTCTGCTGAATATCCTGCGATTATTTACTTGGTTCTCACCGAATGAACTGAATTTTGAAACTGGGATTTCCAAAACATTTAATGAAAATAGATCCTACCTCCCTTTTAATTTTCTTTATTTGATTATGTTGTTGTTGAGTTCTCACCTGCAGGCATTTGTCCCACAGACTAAGGTGAGAATTTTTCCTTCTGCTATGGCACTATTTTTCTATCCACTCAAGTAATACACCTGGGGTTTTTAATATTTAGTGTTTTCTCAATACGTAACTTAGAGTCTTGTTTAGCTACAAATGCAAAGCAGCAGAATAGTCTAAAACTGAATCCACCCTTTTCTGCCCCTCCCAAAATAGCTCATTGTTTTAAATTACAGGAATAAGAAGCTCTAAAATGCTTTGTGACATGTAAATAGTTTTATGAACTCTATTAGCAAGAATTTTGAACAGAATAGAGCAAAGTCCTTATACAAATACCATATGTGCTTCAAAATTAGCTGATGTTTTCTTTTACGTGGCCAAAATAAATTGAAAATTGAGCTTTAGCAACATTGGTCATGACTGGCGTAGAAACTGCTGTTCCAGTTTAAAGGATGCTGTAGTGTCAAATCCTTATAAACCAAATTATAGTGGAAGTCTGCAACAATCAAAATTGGGCAATCTGAAGAATGAGTTTTATGAGTGGGAGATACAAGGAATTTTATCTGAGAAAAATTAGTTTACTATTCCCAAGAAGATGATAACATCTAAACTTGCAGTTTTATAGTAGCAGACCTATCATCAGCACTTTTCCTGCCTGGGTTTGCTCAATAATTTATTTTATTTTCATATACTTCTGCTTTAGGTCCAATGAGTCAGACATATGAACAGTATAAACTACAGGAGTTCTATGGAGTTCAGTGAAGTTACATTATTTTACATCACTTCAGGACATTCTTTATGAGAAAAGGGAAAAAGTAAAAGTAGTGCCCCTCCCTGTTTCAGTTCCACACAGCAGCTGTAAGATGAAAAAAACCGGTTTCATTTTGTCTATGTAAATAGTCCCTTGTCCAAGAAAACTGAAGAAACAAGGAAAAAAGGAAACAGAGAAAATAGCAGACATCTCTGCCTGTGTTCTTGTGGTACCTGTATTCATAATCCTATATTTCGGTGGAATATTAATCTACTGATGCTTTCCTGTGGTTGCTTCTTAGGGTTCCATTGAGGGGGGCTCTGGAAAGAAAGGGGACAATTAAAAAGCCTATGTCCAGTAGCTGTCTCGAAGAGGAGCATGCCTAATGATGTCTCTTTTGTTGATATCAGGTTAATAATAACGCAGAACTGGTAGAAGATAGGAGGAGAGGGAGGAAATGAACAGCATTCTGCCAGAGACGAGCTGCGCTGCATTGAATGTTTGCAAAGTGCTGTTTTCACTACAGTTCCCAGTGAGTATCAGATGTTCACCCTCATCTTCATGTTCCCTTTAACTCACTTTACTTTGGACAAGTTGCAGTGTTATAGAAAGTAATTGCTTGAATTTGTGTCAACATCACCAGTAAGTCTCCACTTGTTAAAAACTTGGACTGTTAAAAAAAAAAAAAAAAAAGGCTCTGTTG